GACTAGGAGACCTACTTCGGCCAAAGCTACTGCTGCTGAGGCTAAGGGGGCTGTTAGGAAGCGAGTCAAATGCAGCTGCGTTCCGTCCAACACCAGCACCCATGCTCGTTCTTCTTCTTCGTATTCTTGCCGCCCCTCCCCCCCTGCTGCTGCTGCTGCTGCCGACACTGTGCATGGACGCCGAGTCATCCTCGTTATCGTCCTCCTCGTTATCCGCGTCGCTGTCCTCGTTACTGTCGTCCCCGTTACCGTAGTTGGAGCTGGAGTCGAGGTGGAACTCGTCTATAGTGTCGACGAACTCGTGTAGAAAGGCGTTCAGGGAGGAGCCACCCCTGGTGGAGGGGAGGGGAGAGCAGGACAGCGGAAGAGCAGGACAGAGGAAGAGCAGGACAGAGGAAGAGCAGGACAGAGAAGAGAGAACAAAAGCAAGAGAAACGGATCAGCAAGGGTTGAAGAACGGATGGCAGGGAGGGACGAAGGGGATCACCAGAAACAAAAGCATGGGGGAGAGGGAGAGGGAGAGGGAGAGGGAACGAGAGAGGGAGAGGGAACGAGAGAGGGAGATGCGGAAGGGGAAAACCGATATGCGAATATGAGAGGGAAACAGAAGCGAATTCTATGCACTGCGCCATCCACGCGGGGAGGCGTGCGGAGCGGAAGGTGCGGCGGAGTGACTCTCATGCCGACTACACAGAAGCCTACTTGCTGCGCCATCCGGGCAGGGGGGGAAGTGAAGGGGGGGTGCTTACTGCGCCATCCGAGCAGGGGGGGGAAGGGAAGGGGGGGTGCTTACTGCGCCATCCAGGCGGTGAGGCGCGGGGAGCGGAAGGTGGGGCGGAGATCCCAGGAGCCATGGAGGCCCTCGGTGATGGGCGACTTGTTGGGCAGACACGCGAGGACCAGCGCTGACGCCGAGTTGACTCATGCATCCATCACGACCATATCACTGACCACCTGAATCAAATCTACTTACTGTGCCATCCAGGCAGGGAGCGGTAGGGAAGGGGGGCTACATATCCAGCTGATCTTACACACTGCACCCGTCCAAGCAGGGAGACACAGGGAGAGGGGGTGGGAGGAGGGGGGAGGAGAGGGGAGGAGACGGGGGGGGGAGGGGGGGAAGTGGGGGAGGAGGAGGGGGACCAGGGGGTACGTACTGCGCCATCCAGGCGGGGAGGCGCGGGGAGCGGAAGGTGGGGCGGAGGTCCCAGGAGCCATGGAGGCCCTCGGTGATGGGCGACTTGTTGGGCAGACACGCGAGGACCAGCGCCGACGCCGAGTTGACGAAGTTGGCCGTGTTGTGAAACGCCTCGCGCGATGCTGCTTTGACAGACCTGTCAACGGACGAAAAACGTGACGGAAAACGTTACGGAAAAGGGTGAGTTCACGCGTTGTGGCTTCGGTAATAGGGCGAATTGTTGGGCAGCCACCCCGGCACAAGAGCTGACGCGGGATTAGACGAACTTCGCCATGTTGACTAGCGCCTGGCGTGGCGCCGCCTTGACGGACATGACGGCAAACGTGACGGAAAACGTCTAAATGGAAATCAGACGGAGAGCCCCGCTGGGGTAAGAGTCTACGAGGAGCGTCTACGCAAAAACTGAAAAACAGTTAGCCATGCTCATACGGTGTCGACGCTTGTAATCGTACGCGATAAAAAGTGCTGGAACCAGCACCGTACGATGTAAGTGAGCTGGAAGAGAGCGAAACGGCTTGCTTGGACATGTCTGAGATGGAGTGCGAAGAAACGACACGGCCATGCTCGAATTTACCGTGGCGAGGAGGGGGGATAGAGGGGGGGGAGCCGGGGGGGAGGGGGAGGAGGGGGGAAGGCGAACTTACCGTCCTTGGCGACCCCTACGGCATGATCCACTACCCGCTGCATCCTTCGCCTCTAGAATAAACGGCCTCAAGTTTCTCGTGATGAAGGGAGAAAAGGCGAGCGAGGAGACAGGAAAACGCGAACTTACCGTCCTTGGCGACCCCTACGGCATGATCCACTACCCGCTGCATCCTTCCGTTCTAAAGTGGACGTCTCAAGCTTCTTGTGAGGATGGGAGGAAGCGGTGTGCGAAAAAAGGGAAACGCGAACTTACTCTTTGGCGACCCCTACGGCATGATCCACTATCCGCTGCATCCTGGTCGCTGCTGAGGGGCAGGTCTTCAAACAGAACACCGAAATCAACGATAGCTGTCCTCTCGCCTTCAGTTAATCGACTAATTCAACGTTAGCGTCCCCTTACTCGGTCTCTGGCCGTCCTTCCAACCCCAGTGGAAGTCTCAAACGAAAAAGGGGAAAAGTAGACGGTAATTGTTCCTCGTCCTTCACCTACTCACTAAACGATTAAGCGAAGGGTTGCAACGGGAGAAACGCGACATGTCCAGTGCTCAGCTAGACGGTTCTATGACAGGGCTGCGGATTCAGTGGCAGAGGTGATGATCAAGATGCGAGGAACGCGTCTCCCGTGCGAGGGATTCGTGGTCATAGCTTTGGGATGACTGTCTGGGATGGTCGCGGAAATGGCCGTTGAAATGGTCGCTGGAATGGTCGCCCAGCTTGCTGATCCAAGCCAAGGAAGTTTGTGCTCGGTCTGGATCAGCGAAAGAACAGATGTGGCCTGTTTGTTCAAGTACTTGTCTGACACCTACGCCCTATTCAAAAAATAGTCACTGAAGCACTCGAGGTACGAAATCCGTACCGCCTGCTTGTGAATTCATTGGACCTCCACCCAGGGTACACACTTGCAAATTGCGGTTTCACGATCACTTGAAGTGATCAAGGACCCTAGGTTCGAAAACAAGGCAGAAGCGAAGTTACTTTGCTACGCCCCCTTGCCGGACCAGAAGCGCCTGCTTTCGGCAAGCATTGATGCCTCGGTTCCACCGAGCCTGCGGCTTTTGCTTTTGTCCTCCAGCTAAGCCAATCGTGAGCTACACATCACACTGGACCGTCGCCAGCAGGGCTGGTTCGGCATGCACGAGGAAGGTGCGGCGAGGAATAGCCGTGCACGCTGGTGCTGACATGGATGGCAGGGAGACAAGCTGTCAAAACGGGAAAATTGCTGTTGCAGATTGTCCTCGAAACTTTTCATAACTTCATGGACAGGCCCTACTTTCATGGACACCACATCGAAGTTTCGGTTCTCCCGTGGATTCCGTCAATACTTTCGCGGACTCCCGGCTTACTTCCATGGAGACACGCGAATTGGAAACAAAAAAAAAAACATATTGAGCTGTACAGATGCTGACGGGAGGTAAAAACAAAATTATGGCGTGATCAATCCCTCGAAAATAGTCGCAAGCTACAGTAATTGCAAGCAACCAAGTGCGCTAGGTGTTTCGCGTGTTTAAAGAAACTCTGAAGTGATCCTAAAAATTCATTTGAATGACTGTATCAAAGCGGTTTAGTTGAACGACAAGTGTAGTAGATCGAATAAGCTAAATCTCGCTACAAAATATTCACGTTTCCCTTCCCCTTATTCCTTCCCCCCATTCCTTTCCCCTTATTCCCTTTCCCCCATTCCCTTCCCCTTATTCCCTTCCCCCCATTCCTTTCCCCTTATTCCCTTCCCCCTATTCTCTCCTCTAATCCCCTTCCCCCTATTCCCTTCCTCTTATTCCCTTCCCTCCATTCCCTTATGAAGGAGAAAAAAACTGCTGATTGATGCTGGCTCGTCAAGCACGTGCATATGATATTTTTGCTGAGTAGCTCTGATTTGAATAATAGATGTTTCTATAACGCGGACCTTAATACACTGTATTTTTGAAAGTATACTGCATATTTGAGTGCGGCTGCAAACTCTTCCCAGAAAAGCTCCGAGATTTTGTTTCAGAACCGGTTTCCGACTCTGTAGCTCATGATTACTTGCGACGGACAGATAGTCTGGAGTATTTCGATTTTTGTGCCCGTAATAACTTGTATATTGCTGTATACTCCTGCTTAAAGCGAGAGATTATAATAGTGACCCATCTTTCTAGTTGGGCCCAACTTGATAAGGACCCTCGAACAGATATAGGGGGGACAAACGAGCGAGCAGAAGAAAACGTCGTTTCGGGGCGGGCAGTCATTCAATAGCAAAAGCACCTACCCGCGCGACAAATTCGGATATATGGACAGGGTTCTGTTTATACCCATAATACTAGCTAGCGTGCCTCGTTGAGGCTCATTTGTTACCGTATTTTGTCGACCTCAATTGGTTGCGATTCAGTCAAACTCAAAAGGGTGGACTCGCAATGGGAAAAGTGTGGTTGGCGGGTGGTCGAAGTAAATACGCCTTGATATGGGTAGCTATAGGTGGGGAGAATTTTTGACCAATCAGAAAACCAGTTGTGTTCTTCCATGAGTAGTGAACCTGGGTCCAACTTGAAAATCAAGTTGGGCCCACTTGGAGAATGATAAGGCAATGGGGTCGCACAAGTAGCTGCGACCTGTGACAGCTCGCAAACCCTGTCGTACAAATTTCCCAGCCAATCGTGTGCTCGCGCTTGTTCGCTATGAACAGCGCGGCTGCGTTATGGAATTGCCCTGGTCCTGCCGAGTAAAGCTAACAACCCCTTAGAAAAATCGAGGGTCCCTTGGTTTCAAGTTGGACCCGCCTTCACTATTTTAGGCCCTTGCTTTAACTGCGAATATGCGTGTGTCCATGGAAGTAAGCCGGGAGTCCACGAAAGTATTGACGGAGTCTACGGGAGAAGCAAAACTTCGATGTGGTGCCCATGAAAGTAGGGCTTGTCCACGAAAGTATGAAAAGTTTCGTGGATGGTCCGCTGCAGCAATTTTCCCCAAAACGGGATGGTATCTCTGAGTGGGCGAGATGGTATCTCTGATATGGAGAATTCTCCACAGTTAAAAAGTCTCTTACTCATGTAGACTATATTTCCGTTTTTCTTACAAAGCTTTTAGCAAATAAATGTTCCCATCCCAGCTCCTCCACACGATCGAGCAACTCGTTTTCAAAAAGCTTCGAATCTCACCTTGTCGAAGCCATGTCGAAGTGATACAGCGCGGCCGTCCGCTGCCGTAAGTAAATGCTGGTCAAGTTCCATTTCGCGTGCTGATTATTCTCACTGTCTGTTTAGGGCCACACTCCCAAATACCGTCCTCTACCTTCGATCAGTTACCCGTTCCATTCGCACGGAGCAAGCCGCAGTAGCTTGTGACAGTAACAACCTGTGACAGTAGCGAGAGGGTACGAGCAAGCATGTCGAGCATATACGTGCTCGAGCCACCGACGCAAGGCAAAGTAGTGGTTACCACCACCCTTGGCGACCTCGATATCGAGCTCTGGCCACGTGAAGCCCCCAAAGCGGTGAGTTTACATACCTTGGTAACCTTCCCTGTGGTAACCACCCTGTGGTAACCCTCGCTGTGTTGCCACCACCCTTTTCGACCTAGATATCGAGCTTTGCAGCGTGAAAGCCCTTCCTGGCAGCGCTTCTCTGGTAACCAGTACATTGTAACAGCCATTGGTTACCATGACTACAGTAACCAGAACCACCACGTTCAATAACTCTGATGTGGCCTCGTAAAGCCCCTAAACCGGTGAAATTCCACCGATGCGTTGTCAACTCTGGAAACTAGTACTGTGGTAACCACAACCACCACCTCGGTTGACCTTCATATTGAGCTGTGGCAGCGTGGAGTCCCTAGAATGGTGAGCTCCCCTCTCTTTCCCCCCTTGTTCCCTGTCCCCCCCCCCCCCCCCCCCCTTGTTCCCCCTCTCCCCCTTGCTCCCCTCTCCCCCCTTGTTCCCCCTCTTCCCCCCCCCATCAGGTCCGCAATTTCGTCCAGCTGTGCTTGGAGGGGTACTATGACAACACCATATTCCACCGCATCATTCCCGGCTTCATGGTGCAGGTGAGATCTGGTGCAGGTGAATTCTGGTGCAGGTGCCTTGAGAGCTGGTGAGACCCCGTGCAAGTACCATGTGGTGCAGGCATGATTAGGCTCGGCTGTGCTTGGAAGGGTACTATGACAACACCATATTCCACCGCATCATTCCCGGCTTCATGGTGCAGGTGAGATCTGGTGCAGGTGAATTCTGGTGCAGGTGCCTTGAGAGCTGGTGAGACCCCGTGCAAGTACCATGTGGTGCAGGCATGATTAGGCTCGGCTGTGCTTGGAGGGGTACTATGACAACACCATATTCCACCGCATTATTACTGGCTTCATGGTGCAGGTGAGATCTGGGTTTAGTACCACCTGGTGCTGGTGAGACCTGATGCAGTATTAGGTGTCAGCTGTGCTTGGAGGGGTACCATGGCAACACCATATTCCACCGCATCATTACTAGCTTAGTTTCATGGTGCAGGTGCGATCTGATGGAGGTGAGATCTGGTGCAGGCATGATTTGGTTCAGCTGTGCTTGGAAGGGTACTAGCACAATCAACAACATGTTCCACCACATCATTACTGGTTTCATGGTGCAGGTGAGAACTGGTTAAGTACCACCTGGTGCAGGTGAGACCTGATGCAGTATAAGGTGTCACTGTGCTGGGAGGGGTACTAGGACAATGCCAAATTCTATCACATCATTACTGGCTTCATGATGCAAGGGATATCTGGTTCTGGTGGCATCTGGTGCAGTGTTAGGTTCAGCTTAAATCAGAGGGGTTCTACGACAGGACACTACCCCAGAACAGCATTTCCAAGTTCGGCTGTGCTTTCCTGTTGCTGAGGTTTGCCGGCTCCTTGCACTATTCTCTGCCCTTCCCTGTGTCTGCATTTTCTCTTGTTCTGTAGGATGGGGATTCAACCAGTTCAGACAGGGGGGGGTGGGGGTGGGGGGAAGGGGGATCTATTTTTGGAGAACTGTTCAAGGACAAGTTTTGTTCTCGGCTGTGATTCACCGGTTGCTCGATTGTCTTCTCCTGCGTTTATTTTCCAGGGAGGAGACTCAGCAGTTTCGGGCACACGATATGAGTCTTTTTCCGAGGAACCTTTTTACGACGAGTTTCATTTGTGGCTGCAATCTTCCTGTTGCTTATTTAATTTACGCAAATGCATGGATTCTGCAGGGCGGAGACCCAACTGGTTCAGGCACGGGCGGGGAGTCCATCTACGGGGAGCCATTCAAGGACGAGTTTCACTCGCGGCTGCGCTTCTCCCACCGCGGGCTCGTCGCATGTGCCAATGCGAGCGCGCCCCACAGCAACGGCAGCCAGTGGTTCTTCACTCTGGACCGATGCGACTGGCTGGACAAGAAGCACACCATATTTGGCAAGGTGAGCTGGCATGCATAGGTGCACTAGGATGTATGTATGGGGAAGCACTGGGAGGGCTCGTCGTGTACTCCAGTAGGGGGGCGCCCCACAGCAACGGCAGCCAGTGGTTCTGGCAAGGTTGGTTGCTTGCCAGCTTTAGCAAGGTGGATTGCCATATTTGGCAAGGTGCGCTGGCATGCCTTTATGGGCTGGCAAGGGAGGGGTGGTGGCATGTGCCAGTGTGGGCGCGGCCCACAGGAACAGCCACCAGTGGTTGTTTACTTTAGACGGATGTGATAGAGTGGACAAGAAACACACCATCTTCGGCAAGGTGCGAGTTTCAGTCAGTGTCACAGGCTAGTAAATCCGCCTTCCCCTCCTCCCTTCCCCCCTCCCCGCAGATCACAGGCAACACGGTTTTCGATGCGGTGCAGCTGGGGGAGGTGGATACTGGTTACAACGAGAGGCCTCGCACTCACCCCCCTCACGCATTTGTTTCTCCCTCTCTCACGCACACGCCCACATCCATACATGCATAGATCACCGGTGACACCATTTTCAACGCGGTGCGACTGGGGGAGGTGGATACTGACGACAATGACAGGCCGTTTGATCCACCATCAATAATCAGTGTGGAGGTGAGTCAGCATGAGTCAGCACGAGTCAGCATGAGTCAGCATGCGTCAGCATAGTCAGCATGAGTCAGCGTGAGTCAGTATGATTCGGCACGATTCAGCACAAGTCAGCACAAGTCAGCAGGGGTCTGGAGGAGTCAGCACGAGTCAGCACGAGTCAGCACGAGTCAGTACGAGTCAGCTCAATTGTAATAGCACTCTGCCACATGAGGTATTTGTAGTACCATCCCGAATGGTGTCATCTCATCTCAACCGTATGATGTCGTCTTTCCCCATTCATCTGGCGATCTGGATCCCAATAAAGGGCATCGTTCCCAGGAGACTGTGTGGCAGGCAGTAGTAGATCGTACCACCTTTACAGTATCCCATCAACAAGGCACTGTCATCTCTCATCCCCCACATGACCCCTCCTTCAGGTCATTTGGAACCCAATCAAGAACGTCTTTCCCAGGAGACTGCCTGCCAGGCAGCAGTAGATCATTCTATCAACTTAACAGTATCCCATCAACAAGGCACTGTCATCTCTCATCCCCCACATGACCCCTCCTTCAGGTCATTTGGAACCCAATCAAGAACGTCTTTCCCAGGAGACTGCCTGCCAGGCAGCAGTAGATCATTCTATCAACTTAACAGTGTCCCATCAACAAGGCACTGTCATCTCTCATTACCCACATGACCCCTCCTTCAGGTCATTTGGAACCCAATCAAGAACGCCTTTCCCAGGAGACTGCCTGCCAGGCAGCAGTAGATCATTCTATCAACTTAACAGTGTCCCATCAACAAGGCACTGTCATCTCTCATCCCCCACATGACCCCTCCTTCAGGTCATTTGGAACCCAATCAAGAACGTCTTTCCCAGGAGACTGCCTGCCAGGCAGCAGTAGATCATTCTATCAACTTAACAGTGTCCCATCAACAAGGCACTGTCATCTCTCATCCCCCACATGACCCCTCCTTCAGGTCATTTGGAACCCAATCAAGAACGTCTTTCCCAGGAGACTGCCTGCCAGGCAGCAGTAGATCATTCTATCAACTTAACAGTGTCCCATCAACAAGGCACTGTCATCTCTCATCCCCCACATGACCCCTCCTTCAGGTCATTTGGAACCCAATCAAGAACGTCTTTCCCAGGAGACTGCCTGCCAGGCAGCAGTAGATCATTCTATCAACTTAACAGTGTCCCATCAACAAGGCACTGTCATCTCTCATTACCCACATGACCCCTCCTTCAGGTCATTTGGAACCCAATCAAGAACGCCTTTCCCAGGAGACTGCCTGCCAGGCAGCAGTAGATCATTCTATCAACTTAACAGTGTCCCATCAACAAGGCACTGTCATCTCTCATCCCCCACATGACCCCTCCTTCAGGTCATTTGGAACCCAATCAAGAACGTCTTTCCCAGGAGACTGCCTGCCAGGCAGCAGTAGATCATTCTATCAACTTAACAGTGTCCCATCAACAAGGCACTGTCATCTCTCATCCCCCACATGACCCCTCCTTCAGGTCATTTGGAACCCAATCAAGAACGTCTTTCCCAGGAGACTGCCTGCCAGGCAGCAGTAGATCATTCTATCAACTTAACAGTGTCCCATCAACAAGGCACTGTCATCTCTCATCCCCCACATGACCCCTCCTTCAGGTCATTTGGAACCCAATCAAGAACGTCTTTCCCAGGAGACTGCCTGCCAGGCAGCAGTAGATCATTCTATCAACTTAACAGTGTCCCATCAACAAGGCACTGTCATCTCTCATTACCCACATGACCCCTCCTTCAGGTCATTTGGAACCCAATCAAGAACGCCTTTCCCAGGAGACTGCCTGCCAGGCAGCAGTAGATCATTCTATCAACTTAACAGTGTCCCATCAACAAGGCACTGTCATCTCTCATCCCCCACATGACCCCTCCTTCAGGTCATTTGGAACCCAATCAAGAACGTCTTTCCCAGGAGACTGCCTGCCAGGCAGCAGTAGATCATTCTATCAACTTAACAGTGTCCCATCAACAAGGCACTGTCATCTCTCATCCCCCACATGACCCCTCCTTCAGGTCATTTGGAACCCAATCAAGAACGTCTTTTCGCAGGAGACTGTCTGCCAGGCAGCAGTAGATCATTCTATCAACTTTACAGTGTCCCATCAACAAGGCACTGTCATCTCATCCCCCACGCAACCCCTCCTTCAGGTCATCTGGAACCCCTTCGAGGACATTGTTCCCAGGAGACTTCCTGCCACACAGCAACTAGAAGCTGCAAAGAAGAGCAAAGGCAGGGACAAGAACAAGCGGAGGCAACAACCGCAGGTCAAAGGCACCAAGTAAGTTCTGACACGCCTCAAAACAAGTGTCAAAAGAGGAATGTTGCCTCAAAACAGGAAGTTCCCGTTGGATAGGATAGCAGCAAGAAGCTGCGCAGAAGAGCAAAGGCAGGGACAAGGACAAGCGGAGGCAACAACCGCAGGTCAAAGGCACCAAGTAAGTAAAGCTAAGCGTCATGGGCGATTTCTCTCTTTAATTGTCCATGTGAGCGAGCCGGCCCCATTACCAAGTAGATCAGGTTATCATGAGCCTCTTGACCTTCTCTAAACCCTCGTGCCTTGTTGATCCTCTTTTTAGCCATACACCTGTTCTCTCCCCTACTTGTGTTAATCAGCCAGTTGAACCTCCTCTTGTTTGGCGAGGATGTGGAGGAGAAGGAGGCTCAAGGCTGTGCTATATTTGCCTTGGCCCCCATTGCCCTTTTTGACCCCATACCCCCCGCCCCATCCCCCCCCCCACCCCCTTCCCCTCCCTCCCCCCTCCTACTTGTGTTGATCAGGCTGTTGAACCTCCTCTTGCTTGGCGAGAAGGCGAGGAGGAGGAGGAGGAGGAGGAGGAGGAGGAGGAGGAGGAGGAGGAGGAGGAGGAGGAGGAGGAGGAGGAGGAGGAGGAGGAGGAGGAGGAGGAGGAGGAGGAGGAGGAGGAGGAGGAGGAGGAGGAGGAGGAGGAGGAGGAGGAGGAGGAGGAGGAGGAGGAGGAGGAGGAGGAGGAGGCTCAAGGCTGTGCTATCTTTCCCTGGGTCCCTTTTATCCCATACCCCCCCCACCCGCCCCCGCCCCCTCCTCCCCCCCAATCCCTTCCCCGCCTTCCCCCTCCTACTTTTGATGATCAGGCTGTTGAGCATCCTCTCGTTCGGCGTGGAGGCGGAGGAGGACGTTAAGGCTGTAGTACCTCATCTCGCCCTTGCCCTTTTTTACCCATATCCTCCCCCCCACCCCACCGCCTCCACCCGCCTATGTTATCAATCAGGCAGCTGAACCTCCTCTCGTTCGGCGAGGAGGCGGAGGAGGAGGAGGCGCAATTAGAAGAGGCGAATCTGCGGATCAGAAGCAGCCATGACGTGCTCAAGGACCCCAGGCTGCTGGCTGTGAGTACTGCTGGGGGCTAAAGGTTGCTGGTTAGGGTAAATCATAGGGGGAAGGGGAGGGCAGAGGGGTCTCAGCTGGGGGGAGGCGAATTCTCCAGATCACAAAGGGTGCTCAGAAGCAGTCGTGACGGGGAGGCTGCACGCCGCCCCATGAGGCGAATTTGAAGGCTGCTGGCTGTGATGTGAGTAAATGGGTTGAAGCTCAGAAGACTTCGGTTATCATCTGTGCGATAGAGATGTCATAGAGATTCTTCTGAAAACCATGTCTTTTGTTCTTTTTGCTGTCCCTCGCCCCGCGAAACAGCAGTCATTTCAAGATTCTGGGAAAAGAAGTAGATTATTCGTTCTGCCTTCACTAAGCGATTCTTGTCCCCCTCCAGATTCCTGTCAAGCGATTCGCTTCCTTATTCCCCAGGAAACAGCAGCCGTGTCGAGATTCTGGGAAACAAACTAGATTATTGTTTCTTCCTTCACTATGCTGCCCCTTGCGGATTCTTATTATGCGATTCGCTTCCTTATTCCCAGGAAACAGCAGAGGCGGTTCAGCTGAAGTTGGCCTCCCGGGGAGGGGACTCAGAGGGGGAAGAGGAGGAGGAGGAGAGTGGGCGAAGAGAAGGGGAGAGGCTCAGTAGAGGGAGAGGCAATGGCAGAGAAGGAGACAGTGCTGGTGGTGCCATTGGGAGCGGGAGAGGAAGGAAGGGAGAAGAGAAGGGTGGAAAGAGTGGTGATAGGGGTGGTTTAGGGGTTTCAGAGGACGAGAGGGGCAGGGGGAGAGAAGGCAGGGAGGGGAGAGGAGGCGAGGGAGAAGGGGGAGGAGAGAGGGAGGGGGGCGGAGAGGGGGAGGAGGCTAGCTTTGATGAGTTGATGCGGCGGAAAGTGCTGGAGAAGCAGCGGCGGTTCTTGAAACTGGGAGGGGAGAAACAGGGAGGTGCGAATGAGCGAGGGCGGAGCGGAGAGAAGGGAGGGAGGGGAGGAAAAGGAGAGGGAGGGGAGACGGGTGGGGAAGGTGCAACAAGAAAACATGATGGGGCCGGTGTGAGGGAATGGGCGAAGGAGGAGGAGGAGGGTGGGGGTGATGGTGACTGTGATGGGAGTGATGGTAGTGATGAGGAGGGGGAGGGAAGAGGAGGGAAGGGGAGAGTGAGGGTTGAGAAACTGCGGTTAAGGAAGGTGGTGGGGAAAGGAGGGGGGAAGGGAGGAGGGGAGGAGAGTGCGGGAGGAGGGTTGTTGGGAGAGGAGGAGGAGAGGAGGCAGCAGATGCGGCAGAGGAAACGAGCACTGGGCTCGCGACAAGAGAAGGTACGGCTGCTTATTTGATGGATTTGAGTGCTTTTGAAGGCGTGTGAAAACAACGTGAGGGTGTGGTGTGAGCTGTTGGGGGAGGAGGAGAGGAGGCAGCAGATGAGGCAGCGGAAGAGAGCAGTGGGCTTGCGACAAGAGAAGGTATGTACAACTGCTTCTTTGATAGATTGAGTGTTGTGAAAACAACATGAGGGTGTGGTGTGGGTTGTTGGGGAAGGAGGAGGAGAGGAGGCAGCGGATGAGGCAGAGGAAAAGAGCACTGGGCTCCCGACAAGAGAAGGTGTGAGGGGTGTGGAACAGTGGGATGGGTTTTGAAGAATGGGAGGGGTGGGCGATTGAGAGTGTGTGGGCGTTTTGTTTTTTTCAACCGATTGAAATCGAAGCTAACCGCATCCAAGGCAGTGCAGCAAAGGGAGGGGATGTGTAATAGAGACATCTCAAAGAATCACTGTAACCCTTCCCCCCCCTTCCCCCCAGACTCTTGAGCTTCTGAACCGGTTCAAATCGAAGCTAACTGCATCCAAGTCCGTGCAACAGAGGGAGACCCGTGCAGACAAGGACAGGGAAGATGCAGCAGATGAGGGGGGAGGAGGGGGCAGAGAGGAGGAGCGGGAAGGAGAGAGAGGCGGTGGTGGGGGCAGCAGGAGAAGGGAGCCGTTGGAGTCAGGGAAAAAGAGGGAGGCAGGGGCGTATGGGCCGGGGGGGAAGGCGAGGCAGGATGTGGGAGGAGAGGGGGAGGAAGAGGATGCAGAGGAGGGTGGGGGTGTGGATTGGATGGCTCACCGGCTCAAGTTCGAAGTGAAGAGGAACAAGCGGGTGAGTCAGAAGGAGCAAGATGGTGAGTCGACAGAAATCTTGGAGGGGTTTCTGGATGCTGCACGATCAAGAGCGTGCATCTAGGGTGCGGTGGGGTGGATTGGATGGCTTGCAGGCTCAAGTTCGAAGTGAAGCGGAACAAGCGGGTGAGTCTAAGGTGGTGATTCGGAGGGGATGTTGATCAAGAGCGTGCTGTGAAGAAGGCGTGGACTGGATGGCTCACAGGCTCAAGTTCGAAGTGAAGAGGAACACACACACGCACAAACACATGCACACCCACACATATATGCGCACACACACACACACACACACACATGCACGCACACACACACACACTCACGCAGACACACGCACATACCCACACACATGCACACACACATGCACACACAGACATACACACACAGACATACAGACACACACTCTCGTGCGCGTGCACACCCACACACACACACACACCCACACACACACACGCGCGCGCACGCACACACACACACACGCGCACGCACGCACACACACACACACACACACACACACACACACACACACCGATGCACGACCCGCTGCTGGATTACTCTTTAATCCGTGTCCCCTTCTGTGTGCTTGAACCCCCTCCCCCCCCCCCCCCCCCGTCCCCACCCTCTCCCTCGCCCCCCCCCCCCCAGGATGAGATGCTGAGGAACGACGTCCCAGATCAGTATGCAGTGCATGACCCGCGTCTGGATCACTCATTAATCCGTGTCCCCTTCTGTGCGCTTGAAACCCCCCCCGTCCCCACTCTCCAGGATGAGATGCTGAGGAACGAGGACCCCGACCAGTACGCGGTGCACGACCCGCTGCTTGAGAAGGGAAAAGAGAAATTCAACAAGATGCAGGCCAAGGCGAAGAAGAGAAACAGAGAGTGGGCCGGCCGCTCTCTGGACTAGAATGGGTGTGTTGAGCAGCGTGCTGGACTCTCTGTGGGAAGAGGGCAATGAGATGAGAACCTCAATAGGATCGCTGGTTTGACTTTTCATGCTCAGCTCAGCTCGTCACGCGTGAAAAGTGGTGGTCAACTCAACAAGATGCAGGCCAGGGCGAAGTTTTGAGAATTCTGAAAAAACTAACACAATGACTTGTACCTACACTCAGCTCAGCTCCTCCTCAACAAGATGTCAGCGTGTGAGGACAAGGGGTGGAAAAACAGATGCAGGCCAGGGCGACGAAGCCCAACAGAGTGGGCCAGTCGATCGCTGGACTGGGCTGAATTGGATGTTCGGTACTTTGACCAGCCTCTGGTGCGCCATGCACAACCCGCTGCTGGAGAAGGAAGGTGTCAACTTATACATATTATCTATGTAGAAGTTATAGGCTAGACTGAGGTATGCTTCTAGTGAGTACAACCAACTAGTATTTGTTCTAGGTTTCCACCTCTAGTAATCATTCGTTTCTACGTTAACATGGTATCACGCTTAGGTTAGGATCCCCCCGCCTACCGCTTCCGCCCGTCGCGCCTCCTAGGCCCCGTCGCGCCCCCTAGGCCCCGTCGCGCCCCCCCTGGGCCCCGTCGCGCTCGTTAGGCCCCGTCGCGCCCCCCCTGGGCCCCGTCGTGCCCGCTGGGCCCCGTCGCGCCTCCTAGGCCCCGTCGCGCTCCCCCTGGGCCCCGTCGCGCCCACTGGGTCCCGTCGCGACCCCTAGGCCCTAACGCGCCCCCGCTGGGCCCCGTTGCGCCTCCTAGGCCCCGTCGCGCCCCCCATGGGCCCCATCGAGCCCGCTGAGCCCCGTCGTGCCTCCTAGGCATCGTCGCGCCTCCTAAGCCCCGTCGCGTCCCCCCCCTCTGGGCCCCGTCGCGCCCGTTCGGCCCCGTCGCGCCCCTCCTAGGCCCCGTCGCGCCCGCTGGGCCCCTTCGCGCTTCCTAGGCCCCGTCGCGCCTGCTAGGCCCCGTCGCGCCCCCCCTGGGCCCCGTCGCGCCCGTTAGGCCCCGTCGCGGCCCCCCTGGGCCCCGTCGTGCCCGCTGGTCCCCGTCGCGCCTCCTCGGCCCCGTCGCGCCCCCCCTGGGCCCCGTCGTGCCCGCTGGGCCCCGTCGCGCCCCTTAGGCCCCGTCGCGCCCGCTGGCCCCTGTCGCGCCTGCTGTTAGCGCTCGCCCGCCTGGCCTCCTCCTAGTGCCGCTCGGCCTCCTCCTAGTGCCGCCCGGCCTCCTCCTAGTGCCGCCCGGCCTCCTCCTAGTGCCGCCCGGCCCCTTCCTAGCGCCGCCCGGCCTCTCCTCAGCGCTGCCCGGCCCCTCCTCGTGCCCGACCGGCCCCAGCAGCACCAGCCTGGCCCCTCCCAGCACCAGCCCGGCCCTAGAGCACCTGCCCGCCTCCCCTGCTCGGCCTGCCGTGTCCTCTCGGGCCCTGTGTCTTCTGCTTGCCTGCGCTGGGACGCCTAGCTGCTGCCCTACTGGAGAGTGCTGCCGCCGTGTCCCCGCGCCGCTGTGCTCCTGTGCCGCTGAGGAGCTGTGCTGCTGTGCCGCTGTGTCGCTGAGGAGCTGTGCCGCTGACCCTGCACGATGGCTGACTTTGTGCTCCGCCTGGACGCTGAGGGCCACGCGGTTGACTTCGCCGCCTGGCTCTCCGATCTTCGCCGCCAGCTTACAGGTCAGCGCCAGGATGGCCACTCTCTGGTTGTCCATGCTGATGGCTTGCTCCCCCGTCCCCCTGCACCTACTCCCCTCCCTGCTGACCCCTCCTCTTATGACCGTGAGGCTTTCTCTACTGCTGCGCTAGCCTGTGCGGTCTGGGACTCACGCGATGCAGTAGCTCAGGTTGCTATTAGTCACGCCCTCCCTGTGTCTGAGCGCTCGCGTTTTGCTACTGTTGAAACGGCCAAAGCTTATTTAGAAGCCGTTATTGCTCGCTATTCCACCCCTGCCTCCGCTTCTGCTGGCCGCTTGCTCTTTCCGATGCTGTTCCCAGACCTGGCTGCCTTCCCTACTGTCGCAGATTTTGCCACTCATTTGCGTGCCCTAGAGACTCGCTATCGCACTGCCAGCACTGCTGCCCAGCTCACTGCGCTCCCCCCTCCTTTCTGCATGACGCTCTATTTTATCGCTATGCGCCTGCCAGACCGCCTCGCTAGTGCTCGCGACCACTTTCTTAGCCAGCACCCGGGTGACCTCACCCTGACCGCCTTTGTCGACACCCTCACTGAGATCGAGACTCGCCAGCGCACTATCGCTCAGTCGAGCGGTGCGCCGGCAGTCTCTATCTTTCACGGTTGTGCCCCATCCCCGTGCACGTTCACTGACGTTTCGGCTGCGGTCGCCACGGCGACCCCTCTTACCGAGACGGCTGCTGCTGTCCACCCGCAGCAGCGCTCGCGTCGTGGTGGCCGTGGCCGCCAGGGAGGTAGGGGTGGTGACGCAGGTGGTAGTGGTCGTGGTGGTGGTGACGGTAGTCCGCCTAAGGGGACTACCACCGGTGGGCAGGAGCAGCAGTCCCAGCAGCAGCAGGACCAGCCCCAGCCGCAGCCGCCGTCCCAGCAGCACCCGCCGCAGCCGTGGGCTCGTCTCCCGCCTGGTTGGCCCGGCACCTCCGGAGGCGGTGGCCGTGGTGGCGGCCCGCGCAGCTTGGCGTCTACCAGCGGCTCCAGTGCTGTGACCTGCCAGTACCAGCTTCAGACCGGGCCTCTCCGCGGCACTCTGTGCCGCCGCCCGCACCCGACCGCCCACTGTTTCCGCCGCCTCGACGATCTTTTTCGTCGTCGCTTTGGCCCGGCCCCGGACCTCCCTGACTGGCACAGCCTGCTCCGCCAGGGCGTGCCGATCTTTGAGTTAGACATGGATCAGATAGGTGCTGCTTTGCATGCTTTGTATGCTGACGCTTCTAGTGTTGATGGATCTTACTACCATGTGTACTCTAGTTTAGGTGTTTCACCCTTGTGTAGCTTAGCTTCCCCTGCTGCGACAGGCGTAGGACTGCCTGGGTTGCCTCATGTACCTGATGACTTGCACTCGCCCAGATCTCGCATACCCTCTCAGCATCCTGGCTCGCTTTGTGGCTACAGGCAGACACCGACCTCAGCACTGGTCTGCCGCTAAGAGGGTTTTGCGTTATCTTGCTAGTACATCAGGCATGGGGTTAGTGCTAGGAGGACGCAGGCCAGTGGTCCTTACTGGGCACACAGACGCTTCTTGGGCAGACGACGCTGAGACGCTCAGGTCGTCGCAGGGCTACTGTTTCAGCCTTGGTTCGGGTGTTATCTCTTGGAGATCCACTCGCTCGTCGTCTGTGGCTCAGTCTAGCTGTGAGGCTGAGATCTACGCTGGTGCCATGGCGGCACAGGAGCTCCGCTGGCTGACCTTCTTGCTCACAGACTTAGGTGAGCGGCCTAGCTCTGCCCCGGTCCTGTACGCTGACAACAGGGCCATGATACTCCTGTGTCAGGAGCCTCGGCTTGAGGGCAGAGCGAAGCATATCCAGCTGCGGTACTTCCTCCTGCGCGAGCTACAGCAGCGCCGCCAGGCCCGCGTAGTTCACTTGGCCTCAGGTGCCAACACAGCTGATATCTTTACTAAGGCGCTTGCGCCTAAAGATCATCAGCGGCACTGTGTACAGCTTGGTCTTGTTCCTATAGCTGCTCCCCTGTTAGGATCCTGATTGTGTACTCTCTATTATATATGCTTGTCAGACTGGCCTTGTGGCCTTACCTCCAGTGGCTGGACTAGTAGTGCCACCCTGGCTTGCTTCAGTTTTGGTTGTATTCTTGCTGACTGGTCTCCAGACCCCTGCCTCAGTGGTTGGACTAGTAGTGCCGCCCTGAGCTGTTTGCTTCTTGTTTAGTTTCACCCCTTGTCTAGCCTAGGGGGTGTGTCAACTTATACATATTATCTATGTAGAAGTTATAGGCTAGACTGAGGTATGCTTCTAGTGAGTACAACCAACTAGTATTTGTTCTAGGTTTCCACCTCTAGTAATCATTCGTTTCTACGTTAACAGAAGGGAGAGGAGTTTATTGCGATGCAGGCAAGGCAAGAAGTGCAACAGATAGTGCGCTTGCCGGTCAATAGATTGACATAGGTAGGTGTGAACTGCGTGAGTCTCTTCAAAGGAGAAGTTTGATAAGATGCAGGGATAACGGAGGGTGAGCTGGCCGATTGCTTGATAAAAATGGATGGATGTTGAGTTGAGCAGTGTAGTGTACAGTTTGTTGTGTCAAACACACTTGTGTGTGATGTTGTAGACCATATAGGGTTGTGCCTTAGAGAGTACAACCCCCTAGGTTATAATGCCTTGTACTCTCACATTCTAGTCATTTTTTCAGTTTGATATGGTATCATGAGTAGGTTAGGTCCCCTTCGCCCACCAGCGATTCCGCCGTAGGTCCTAGCCGTCTCACCTACCCCGTCCCCTAGCGGCCCCGCGGCCCCTTCTCCTAGCGGCCACGCGGCCCCGTCCCCTAGCGGCCCCTCGGACCCGTCGACCAGTGGCCCCGCGGCCCCGTCCCCTAGCGGCCCTCGGCCCCGTCGACCAGCGGCCCCACGGCCCTGTCCCCTAGCGGCCCCGCGGCCCGTTCCCTAGCGGCCCCTCGGCTCCGTCGACCAGCGGCCCCGCGGCCCCGTCCCCTAGCGGCCCTGCGGCCCCGTCCCCTAGCGGTCCCTCCGCCCCATCGACCAGCAGCCCCGCGGCCCCGTCCCCTAGCGGCCCCGCGGCCCCGTCCCCTAGCGGCCCCGCGGCTCCGTCCCCTAGTGGCCCTCGGCCCCGTCGACCAGTGGCCCCTCGGCCCCGTCCCGAAGCGGCCCCTCGGCCCCGTCGACCAGCGGCCCCGCGGCCCCGTCCCCTAGCGGCCCCGCAGTCCCGTCCCCTAGCGGCCCCTTGGCCCCGTCGACCAGCGGCCCCGCAGCCCCGTCCCCTAGCGGCCCCTCCCCCCCGTCGACCCGCGGCCCCACGGCCCCGTCTCCTAGCGGCCCCGCGGCCCCGTCCCCTAACGGCCCCTTGGCCCCGTCGACCAGCAGCCCCGCGGCCCCGTCCCCTAGCGGCCCCTTGGCCCCGTCGACCCGCGGCCCCGTCCCCGTAGCCGGCCCCGTCCTGCTGCCGGCCCATTCCCCTAGCCGGCCCCGTCCCGTCGCCGACCCCATCCCGAAGCCGACCCCGTCGCATAGCCGACCACGCCGAGCCGACTCGTTAGGTAGCTGGCCCCGTCACCGCGTCGGCCCCGTCGCCCAGCCGCCCTCGCCTACCAGCCGGCCCGCGCTGACCCTGCACCACACTGCATCGCCCTGTACCGCACTGCACCGCACTGCATTGTACTGCCCTGCCCTTCTGTCGCCGCACCGACCCTTATGGCGGACTCGGTGCTGCGCTTCGACGCGGA